CCTCCACCCCGGGAGCCTCCTGCTTGCTGAGCAGAGCAGGGAAGGGAGAGGAGGGGCACTGATGTCAGGGTGCCCCCCTCCCACGCCATATTCTATCTCCACAGAATGGATGAGGAAAGGCACAGGACTTGGGATGGAGGGAGCTTACTGGCTGTTGTTGAGAGTGGTGCAGGGCCACGGCAAGGGTGAGCCTGCCTTAGCCCCACTGCATCACCTCCCAGGAGACACCTACTGTAAGCAGTGCCCAGTCAGAGCCCACATCCTGAAACCCTACCCCAGTCATGAATCCTCTCCTGCACCCCAACTCCCTGGCCCAGGCTCAGTTCAGAGCCCCTCTCGCATTCTAAATCCCTTAGCCCAAGACCAGAGCCTGTGCCCCATCCCTCTGCCCCTTCCTGGTGAAAGGGAGGGAGGATGGAGTGAGCAGGGGTAGGACATCAGAGAAGGGGCATGAAGGAGACAGAACAAGGGTATTTCAGTCTGAGGTAGATCCTGGATTGCACTTAAATTCAAAAAGTGATCTTGTGCCTAAAAAGGTTGGAGACCTCTGGTTTAGAGCAATAAACTGAACATATACAGGGGCTGGAAGCACATATACATATGTTCCCCTGAGCATATACAGGGGCTGGAAGGCAGGGATCCTAGCTAAGGAACCTGCTGGGCTGCTGGCTTGGTGCTAGGTAAGGTCTCAGCCAGAGCCTCCTTTCCCCCAACCCAATGTAACCCAAACCTTCTACACTCCTGCTTCAGCCCCAATACACCTTCCCAGACATGCATCCCCTCCTAAGGTCACAACCCTCTCACACCTTGCACCCAATCCACTATCCCTAGTCACAGCCCAAATCCCTGCACCAGGTCACAACCCCCTTTCAGGCTCTGTACCCCAGATCACAATCCCCTACTTCACCCAAACTCCCTCCCAGCTGCCACACCCCAGTCCTTTACCCCAAGCTCCCTTCTGTACCCAGCCTCCATCCCAGACCCTCAGACTCCTCCATTAATATAATGGAAGAGTGCAGCCCTTGACCATTTACCAAATTCTTGGATTGCCCCCCCCCCCGCATCCAAAATTATTGCCCACCCGTGTTAATGGCTTACGGTAAAAAAGAAAAATGTTTTAACAGAATTTTTTTGAGTGTTGCAGATATCTAAAACTCTGATCTTAATGATTTTTTAAAATAAGGAGCTTCCTGTAACTGCTGTTCTTCGAGGTGAGCATCCCTAGGGGTGCTCCACATTAGCTGTTCAGCATCCCAGCGCTTCCCGATGGATTTTTCTTAGCAGTGCATTGGGGGCCGCATATGTGCAGTGCGCACGAGCCTCCCCTGCTGCCATCGCGCATGCGTGGCCCCCCTCCCTCTTCAGTTCTTATCTGGAACCTGGCAAAGAATGTGTTATATATGTCATCATAAGGGCATTCTGAAGTAGAGAGGAGGAAGGGAGGGTAGTGGAGGATGCCCAGGGACAGACGCTCATCTCAAAGAACGTCAGTTACAGAAAGGTGAGTAACCTCCTTTTATTCTTTGAGAGGCGGCTCCTGGGGGTGCTCCACATTGGGTGACTACAAAGCAATATTTTTATGGAGGTAGAGACTTTGGATCAGGTAAGTATACCATTTGTAATAAAGCTTTTACTAGTCTAGTATGCTGGAGAGGTCCCAAAGCGAGTGCATAATGATTTGCAAAAGTGTTCTCTGAAGACCGCTTGCACATATGTCACGCAGTGGAATTTTTCTCAGGTAAGCGATGAAGGTGGCAACCACTGTTGTGGAATGTGCTCAGATTGGAATTGGCGAAGTTAAGTGATTTTTTTGTTGGTTGCAGTGGCAAATAGATCTATATCTGGGAAGCCCCCATTGACTGAATATGTTGTTGAGGAGTGCATATTCAAGTTCCCATTTGTGTTCTTATGGCAGGGATTTGCTGAGGGCATCTGCCATCGAATTGAGGACCGCAGGGAGGTGACAAGCAGATATGCGAATGTCTCGACACCAATTCCAAAGTGCTATGGCTTCCGAGCATAGAGTGTGTGATCAAGCGCTGCCTTGCCTGTTTATATAAAACATGCATGTGGTGTTGTCTGTATATATTTTTACATGGATTCCCGTGACGTGGGGAAGTAGTTCTTGGCATGCCAGGTGAACTGCTCTGAGTTCGAGGGTGTTGATGTGAAGAATGTGGTCTGCTGGGGATCATAGGCTGTGTGCTGTGCAGCCTTCTGTATGAGCACCACATCCCATAAGGGATGCATCCCCGTAGTGATAACTACAGTGGGGTCTAAGCTCCGAAAAGGGATGCACAGGTTGGATGATTTTGTCCACAAGTGTAGGGATGCTTTCACTGGGTGTGGTACTGTGAGCATTTTGGTCATATGATGGACATGTGGCTTGTATTTGAGTCAGAGCCGACCTGGAAACATCTCATAAAAAGCTGTGCATTTGGGACCACTGGATTACATGATACCATGTGACCTAAAAGTTGAAGGCAGTCGTAAACCCTTACTATTGGCATCTCTTGAAGCGATTTTGCAAGTTGACTGATGCAAATTAATCTGTCGGTAGGCAAAGAGGCTCTGGCTGTGATCGAACTGAGCTGTGCTCCAATGAATTGGATTGTTTGGGTAGGTGTGAGTGTTGATTTGCCGTAATTTATTAGGAGCCCTGATGAGTGAAGGCAGGTTAACACTATGATGGTATGTTGATGGCAGTCTTGATTGGTCCTTGCTTTGATAAGTCAATGGTCTAAGTATGGATAGATCATGATTCCACGTTTTCTGAGATGAGTGGCGACAACCACTAGCACCTTCGTAAAAACCCTGGGTGCAGTGCAGAGACTGAAGGGAAGTACCATGTGTTGGTAATGTTGGAGACCTAAAGTGAAGCGGAGAAAACGTCTATGAGATGGATTAAACGAAATATGAAAGTATGCGTCCTGTAAGTCGAGAGAAGAAAACCAGTCATGAGACTCCAGAGCTGGGATAATGGGGTTTAGAATGATCATTTTGAATTTCTGTTTCCTTATGTATTTATTTAGTAACTGAAGATCAAGGATCAGTCTCCAGCTGCCTGTTTTCTTTTCTACAAGAAAATAACATGAGTAAAAACCGGTTCCGTGGAACTCCTTGGGCACTGGTTCTATGGCTCCTAGTTAGAGCAGGTGGTCCACCTCTTGTTATAGTATGATATCGTGAGAGGGGGCCCTGAAAAGGGATAGGACGGGTGGTTGGGAGGAAGGAGGGAGAGAAAGGGGATGGTGTAACCTAGGGAGATAGTTTGAATTACCTGCTGATAAGAGGTAATAGCTTTCTAATTTGGTAGGAATTGTAATAAATGAAAATGGAAAGGTTTGGAACCAATTTCAAGCTCTGGTGCATATGGTGTGGGTTTACATCTCTCGACTGTTGTTTCAAATTTGCTTGTTGGATTGGGATGAATGACTGGGCTTATTATTCTGAGGGCAATGTCTGTGTTGCCTGTTCCACCTCCTCTGGTGGTATGGAGCATGGTCTTGCCTCTGATACTGGTAAGTGAATTGTGGGTCCTTGGTCTCTGATATGGTTGGTACCTGTATTATCTTGGTCTTATCATAGGCATTTGGATACCGAGTGACCGCAGTATGGCTCTGGAATCCTTCATCAACTGGAGCAACTCATTGGACTTTGCCAAAAAAAAGTTTTTCCTCATCGAACGAAAGATGTTCTACTGATGGTTGGACTTGGTGGGAAAAGGCAGAAGAATTAAACCATGAGGCTCATCTCATAGTCACAGCTGTTGCTGTAGTCCTTGTAGCTGTATCTGCTGCATCAAGTGCGGCTTGCAGGGCTATTTGCAATATTATCTGACCTTCTGAGATGAGAGCTTTAAACTGTGCCTTCTTGTTATCAGGGATATCTTCAATAAAAGTATTAAACTTTGTATATTTCTTAAAATCGTATTTACTGAGCAAAGCAGCGTAGTTCGCAACCCTCATCTGAAGTGTGGCCGAGGCATAAACCTTCTTTCTGAAGGAGTCCAAACATTTATTGTCCTTTTCAGATGGGGTGGAATGATTTTGTTGTTTGTTTCTCTACTTCGCAGCATCTATTATAAAGGGAATTGGATGGAAGGTGTGTAAAGAGAAATTGGGAACCTTTGGGGGGAACATAGTATTTTCGATCCGCTTTTCTGCATGTTGGTGGGATGGATGCAGGTGTTTGCCACAGGATTTTAGCGGACTCCAGAATGGCTGGGTTAATAGGGAGTGCAATTTTTGAAGCTGTGCTGGACTGAAGGATATTATCAGGGCTCGACAATTAATGTAATCTACTCGCCTGTGGCGAGTAGATTACAAGCCAGCACAGTCGCGCAGTGCAGTCAGTGCATGCGCAGCGTGCCGAACTGCGCAGCTGGCAAGCAGGGCTCGCTGTGGCTTGGTGAGCCCTGGATATTAGTGAGTTCATGTTGAGAAACCTGAATTTCCTCGATAGATATATTCAAGTCATTGGCAACTCTTTTAAATAGATCTTGGAAAAAGGAAACATCATCTGTGCTTTGAGAGATAGGTGGCAGGATTGCCTCCTCCGTGCTTGAAATTGCATTTGAATGTAGTAGAGATACAGAAGCTGAGATGGGAGAACATTTGCTTTCACTGTCATTTCCCCCCATGGACCTATGGGATGACAGGGTTAAGAGAGAGCAAGGCTTCGCCATATGCTTGGTCTTACATGGTCTTTTTTATGTTGTTGAGGGGCTTGATTAAACATTTGCCACTGTGGGGAGCAAAGCATATGCGGTGGCATCCAAAGATAAGGAGCCAAGGGAGCCATCTGAGCTCTGAGAAAATCTGGTTGTTGCTGATAAGCAGATAATATAGAGCACTCCGTATATGGCTGAGGTAAAAAGGCAGGCAAACACTCTTCTTCATCCCCGAGAAGGGGGAGGGAGAGTCAGAGTAGTAAGAGAATGCAGATTGAGGATATATGTTATCAGTCAGAATAGGTGAATGTAAAGTGGAGGAGATTGCCAGGTGTTTGTGATCACTGTAGCTAATGAGGGGAGTATGCAGCATGGATAGCTCTGCTGACTGTAAACAAACTACCTGTGCTGCAGGCCTGAGGGGTTGCCCCTGGTAACGAGGGGGGAGAAGTGGCACTGAGAGGCTGAGCTGTGAGGAGATTCTTCGGTGCAGTGATGGAAGCGGGAAGTGCTCGTATGACCGGTGGGAGGGCAAGAGTTGCTGTGTCAGGCAGCGCGGTATGTGAGGCAGGCACGGGGTGGCCTGTTGCCTCAGTGAGGGCAGCCTTTTTTGCATTTTGTGCACTTTCAGTGCTCACTCGAAGTACCTGGGCAGTCAAATGTGCTCGATTATTGCCTGAGCGGTCTGACTTTCTGCCATCAGCGTGCCGCTTTTGGGGCTGCTCATCCATAGAGCTTGCCCTTGCATTTGATGGCTTAGGGGACATATGCCTTTTAAATATATTGCACTGACCCGAGACTGGGTCAGAGGTATGTTGTTTGCCCTTATCTGTGAGGAGCATTTTGAGGTGCAGCTCCCTATCCTTGCGCGTTCCCATTTTCAGGTTAGCACAGTGCTGGCAATCTTGCTGAGAATGCAACTGCCCCAGGCACTTTACACATTTACCATGCCCATTGGAGGCCGGCATTGCATCCTTGCAGAGCACACAGAGTTTGAAGCCGGGTGAACTCATGCCGCGGTATTATTCAGAGATAGAAGTTTGAGACTGCAGATGTCTTTTTAAAATATAACACACTCCAACAAATAATAGAACTAACAAGTAACAAGAACTGAGAAGATAAAACTATTTCTAAGCAAGTATTGAAGGAAAAAACTGTGAGGAGAAATCTGTTGCGAGCACTGAAGAATTCCGTCTGAAGCCAGAGATGGTAGAAATGAACTGAAGCGGGGGACGGGGGACACATGCGTGATGGCACCAGGGGAGGCTTGTGCAGCCACCAATGTACTGCTAAGAAAAATCCGTCAACAAGTGCTGGGACGCTCAACACCTAATGTGGAGCACCCCCAGGGACACCTCTTGAAGAAGAACCTGTGTTACTAACACATACTTGGTAGAATTCTAGCTCTAATGAGTCAGATGCAGCAAGTACTAGGTGTGATGCTAGCTGTTTTGTAGTATGAAACCTTATTTCCAAGATCTTTTGAAATATGTACCTGTCTGTTAGAAAGGATGATGATACATGTACTCCAAGGTCTCAGAGGTGTAGCCATGTTAGTCTGTAACTAAAAAAACCCAACAGTAGTCCTATAGCACCTTAGACTAACAAAAATATATAAATAGCATCATTAGCGTTCGTGGGCACAACCCATTTCTTCAGCCAAGAGTAGTGTTAATTTTCTTTTTATTTCATTTCATATTAAATAATCATAAGCATTACTCATTGTTAATTACTCCTTGTAATAATGTATTTTCTTCCACAGCTATGGACTATTTCAAATATATTTATATCTATGGATTTTATTTGCACTGCTGAGTGCACATCCATACACTACCTCAATATCGGTGTTGCACATAAGAAATTTCAACCCGCTCCAGGATGGAAAATCTTAGGAGGGAACTCTGGCAACTGCTGGGTTCCGACCGAAACCACCAGCAGTGAAGAAGGAACTGAAGTGATGGTTGGCTGCGCATGTGGAGTAGCTGTTTCAAACGCTGCGCGTCGGCAGCTTTGCATGTGCAGCTGACCATGGGCACTGCTACCTAAAATCTCTGATTGGAAGCACAGTAGCGCTGACACGTAAGGTGGAGCACTCAAAGGGACACTTCTCAAAGAACAACCCTGTGTTAGGATTGGTTTGGCAAAACTCAAGAGGATTTGGATCCATTGCCTCAAGAGAGGTCTGAGTTGTGATGTCAGGATCTGGATGTTGCCTTTTTTCCAAATTCACCTTGAATTCGAAAGGCTGTTGGGACTCTAGCAAAAACTTAGTTCATTATTGCAGTTAATAAACAGCTCTGCCTGGCTTATTTCAGTGGATTGTTTTAGAAAGAAAGCAGCTAAGCTGAAGTCTACTTGAAAAGAGACATAATCCAACTGTCTGCCCTATGGCCAATGACTTCCATTTTTAACATGGGACAAAGATGCAAATGTTAAATTCATATCCTTTTAATCCAACAGGCTCCGAGCAGAAATTCACCCAATGCAAGAGGAAAAATGAGGGCATGTCTGCTCTAAGCTTGTGTTGGGAACAGTGAAGTAGTGGAAATTCCTTAGAGGCAAGAGAATTGACCATACTGGGAGGGGGGGGGGGAAATCGCACATTCCCTCTGCAAAGCAACCACCACCATATGGGCAAAAATACACAGACACACATGCTGAAATGAAGACAACTGTACTATTTTCAACTTGATTTCTATAAATGGAAAAAATGTATAAAATCCATACATACATTAACAATTACAGGAAGTTACAAGATTCAATTCACACCTAAATAATAGCAATCAGTCCATTTAAAAACATGGGAAATTCCACCATTGTAATTTTGCAGAAGTTAATATAGGGCAAGTACCAAAAGATTTTTTTTTCAATGTAATTAAAAAATATTGGCTGTCTTCCGTACTTCTAAAATAACGGGACAATTTCAGATAGACACACACTGGGCCGTTAATTTTAATAATGTTTTTGGCTCTTGCATCTATTCAGAATATTCAAGATGCATACACTTTCATCTCCAAGAGTGGGCAAAGGACAATAGATACTACTCTAAAAAAAATAATAATAATCCCCTTCCAAAATCTCTAAGTTGACATATTTGAGTTTTATTGTTTTATGATTTTCAGCAACACTCAAATTTGTGTCCCCTCAGGTCATGCAATTTACAAATTTACAATTTACAAATTGCAAGGACTAAAGGGATGTTTAGGGGCCTATGGAGAACATGTTGGTGGACCAATCCCGTTCCCAGGTGTCTGGCTGATGTCCACATTGCATACAAACTATCCAGCAGAAAATTTCCCTTCATACTCCCATTTGTTGGCAGTCTCAGACAGGTCAAAGATTGAAAGAGCATGGAAACTGAACTACTCTTTCATGCTTAGGGTTTAGAAATACTGGCAAGAACTGGTGAGGAAAGCTTGCCCCACTACTGCCTATACAGTATCTGAAACTAGATGGAGGACTTCAGTAACTGCCCATCTAAGCCTGGTAAAAGATACCTGGTTTAGGGTTTTTTTTAAGTGTTGGGAATGTAAGCACCTCAACATTCCAAAGGACATGCTAGTGTTTTACAGGTGTACATCACATACACAGGCAGCACAAGGCATCAAGCTGTGTGCATCCATCTAAGATGGCAAAGCAGTTCTCAGAGCAAGTAGCACGAGTGACCCTTTCCAAATAAATTGTATCAAATTGCAGACTCTAAACTAGGTGGTTTGTATTTAAAAAAAAAAAAAAAGCAGGAGAAAGGATATACAGTTATTATTGCAATGACAACTATTCCCCTTCAAAACAAAAGGCCACATAAAATAGTGTTACTCAGTTTGGCTTTTACTTCGTGCCATCTGTAAACAAAAGACTGGATAATCAGTTATTGGGTAGAAATGAAAATATTTTTACATCGAAAAAGAGAACAAGAGAGACTATTCCTTCTTCAATTACAGTTATCCACAGAAGGTGGTTGGGGAAAGGTTTAATTATATTTGCTCATTCAATCTAGAGAGGGTCATACCTACAGAGGAGCTTTTCAATAAAAAAACACCACACATCCTGAAGTCATTTTTTGCCTCTCTCCCCCTGGGATTGCTGTGAGGACTAAACACTACTCTTTTTGGCACTGTGGGTAGAATTTCTTCCTAATACATAATTTTACCTCATTAAAAAAAAAAAAAACACGATTGTCTACTCATGCAATTCCAATAGCATGAAGGAGAGCTGCAAGAGAATTCACTGAAATCTTTGCAACCTCTACCTAAGGAAACCTCCTGATACTGTTTTACTCTGTAGGATCCAGGGAAGTTGATTCATAAATGCAGTTTCTACATTAAAAATCATTTGGGGGAAGGGTTGAAGAAAGGGGGATGATGACTCAGAGCACTGAAATTTAGATAGATTTTTGATTTGTTGAAAAGAGCTTCACTGAATAATTTGACTAAAGAATAATGCACTGCTTCAATCAAATAGAAGAAACAGGTAAATGGGGGGGGGGGTTCTCATTCTTCTTTACTCCTCTTCATGGAGCCTTGGATGTTTTCATCGCTATTGCATTTTTCCTAATTGGATCTTCTTCCAGGCTTCAGAAGCTGTGAAAATGCATGAGTCAAGGATCCCAGCCACAGTAAATGTTCCTCCAATAATGGCGCAAATCTGAAATTTACAAACAAAAAAAAATAGTTTAGGGATTTGTTGATAATGAGATAGACCTTCACACAGCTTGATACCCAGAGAAAAAGTAAGTTCTTATAGTTATTGTTCTTGATGCAGTCACTGGGTTACTTGAGGGAGATCGATGCTGGGGAGATGGTTGCATGTGAAGGCCAAGGGACTACAAATCCTGGGGGAAAGGAACTTAACAATACTATGAGCCCATTCTCTCTGCCAGCTCTACTCAAGCATGAAGCCACCAAGTTAAGCACAATGCCACTTATGTGGTGTGTGTTTATAAGAATCCCTTTCTCCCCAATATCACAAATACAACTGGATTTTCCTCTGTTGTGTACCTTGACCCCACTTTGTCTGAACCCCCTACTTTTGTTATCTACTTGAGTAAGTACCCTGCCCCTTCATACTTCAGGCCCATGCATGTACCAGATTGAAACAATTTTAAATGGTCTATTTTAATCCAGTAGCAACCCCAGAAATATTCCAACGATTCATCACAGTGCTGACATCAGGGCACATCAGTCATTACTTTTGAAGTATGCATCTACTATGCAGGAGAGCTCCAAAACAGGACCTCACTCTTCCCCAGCCCTACTCACTAAGGCTGTGTCCAGACTCCATGCCTCCGTCGACGGAGGCATGTAGATTAGCCAGCTCGGAAGAGGGAAATGAAGCCGCGATTAAAATAATCGCGGCTTCATTTAAATTTAAATGGCTGCCCCGATCTGCCGATCAGCTGTTTGTCGGCAGATCGGGAGAGTCTGGACGCGATGCCCCGACAAAGAAGCCTTTCTTCATCGACACAGGTAAACCTGGTTTCACGAGGCTTACCTGTGTCGATGAAGAAAGGCTTCTTTGTCGGGGCATCGCGTCCAGACTCTCCCGATCTGCCGACAAACAGCTGATCGGCAGATCGGGGCAGCCATTTAAATTTAAATGAAGCCGCGATTATTTTAATCGCGGCTTCATTTCCCTCTTCCGAGCTGGCTAATCTACATGCCTCCGTCGACGGAGGCATGGAGTCTGGACACAGCCTAAG